GTTGCTAAGAGGCCCAAGGATATTTTGACTTTTTGCCAAGAAACTTGCTACTTTTCTTTGGGGTCTTTTTACCCTAACTGCCTAGCCAATTCCTACCTCCTATTCCTATCACACCATCTTCTGAAGAGGTTGACCAAATTGCCAATAGGGAATCAGGACACAGACCGCTCTGACTTCTTCCATGATGAATAGGGACGCAGGGTGAGGCAATTGGAGTACCCCTTCAGTGGATCTATCTAAAAGACTCCCCAATTGTATAACTCTTAACTCTTAAGGGGAAAAGAAAGTCCTTGAATTGTGATTAGGAGAAGTGAAGGAGAAGTAAAGGCAAGAGTAATTAGCATTACAAGTTCTACACGGAACTAGAAAAAAGTCAGAACAGGGCAGTTTTCTAATGATCATATGAGAGTCCATTGGAGTTTCTTGACAAGGGCTTCCAAAAGCATCCCTCTAGTGGGTTCCTCCTCATTTTTCTTTTGTCTGCCAAGGCTGGACTCTGGCATGATAGATTCAGGATTTGCTTTCAGGTACTTTGATAGCTGTTGGAGTGGTTAGAAACAGTGTCAGTTCCCTCTCAAAGGCTCTTAGATAGGGGGAGAAAACAAATTTATACATCATTTTAGAACAATGGTGGGTTATCTCCCTTAGCTACAGGTGGGCACTACAGTATTGAAGACCAAGATTTGAAGTCCTATATCTAAGCAGCACTTTCTGGTTAGGAACAAAATCATCAATGAGAAGTAATTGTCAAAATAACTTTTTTAGAAAAATTATTTATTTAATAAACATAATTAGAAGAAGCATTTCACTACAGATTTAACATACTTTGGTTATACTTTCCTTTTGGGTGTTTAAGACCATACAGTTGGCCCAAATAAATCAATTTATTTTCATACTTACAGTCATTTGAGGATCTGTTCCTCAGGGGTCACATGGGTTTGGGAGGAGCTCCTAGCTCCTTTCTTTTACCAGTTCCATCAATGTGAAGATAAGTCAAAGGTCCTGCTTGATCATGTCTGGCTTCACTTGGAAATATGAATGAGATGTTTCCTTTGAGTTGACCCTCCTCTTTGTGGATTGCATACTGGTTCAAGTCCATCTCGTGGGGTCTCCATGTCCTTCCCAAACAAGAGGACAGGTGACTCACCACAGTTACAGGACATTTTGAGAGATGTTCCATAGTCCACTGCAACTTAGTCGACCTAGGAGGGCAAGGGACAAAAACTGTCCTTTAAGTCCCTCTGACCACATTAGTATAGGCCTCAAATGATAGCTGTTAAACATCCAGTAAGGTTAGTTCCAACGGTCTGGTACTTTTAATTATCATGTGCTATGTAGATAAGGATTAGGTAAAAAACCAAATATTCTCAGATAAACCTTGACTAGATAGATACTTTGTTCCTTAAACTGTTTGACTAAATTATGACCATAGAAATTTTAAGATTATGTGTATATTATTTTTGTCTCATTATATATCATAACAAACCTAAACAGACCTTCATCACTTACTTAGGCTCATTTTTTCTGTCTGTTTTGGAAAATATCTCCATTTTCCATTTGTGCCTTTTAGGAGGGGTGAGCTGTGTACACACCCATTTGCTACTGCTTTAGATGTCAGCGGTATAGAATCACCACACTCATAAGGGCCGAAGACAGAAGACTTGTACATAGTAACTGTGACTGTGCTAGGGCAGAGCATGGTCACTTTAGGACTGAAAGGGTTCACTCACTTAGGGCCTGGACCAGAAGTGAATTCCATGTTCATCCACACAGCAGGCAGCAAGGCTCTTTGCAGAGGAAGCTTTCTGCTGTGTGTGCCACTCCTGCCCGTCCCTCTCCTCTCCTGGACTTCCAAGGACTGAAATTCTACCACCCCAGGTCTTGAAGACTACTCAGACTTTGAACAAATTTTGATTAAAATAGAAGTACGTTCACTGTACATAACAACACACACACGCATACAATTTAAACTTCCTCCTCTATGACACAGGAGTAATAAGAGATTCTGCAGGTATCAGGACCAAACCTGGTGTTGCATATATACAAAGAGTGTAAAAGTGCAAGCTTGGCAGGTCCCTGGGTTACAGGAAAGGGCAGTGTTGGTCGTCTGAGGTAAGGAGGGGAGGTGGCCCTGCTGGGTATTCCCTAAGGAAGTTCACAATGATTGGGCTTAGAAACAGGCTTAGCTAATTTCTTCGTTGAATTTCTTCGTTGCATGTGATTGCGTCGATGCTGTAGCCTTCAGAGCATTGGGGTTTCTTTGACCTCCAGCCATCTGTGCCTAGCCATGTAAAGTAAATGGTCAGTGGCATCAGATGGTGAATGATCTCTGATGTCCCCTGCTGACCACCATAAGAGGGAAAAAGCACCCTGGAGAAATAATCATAGAAGCTATTTTCAAAGTTGGAATTAATTGTGTATTTAGGAAAGCCCATCTTCTGCCAATTATTCTGTTAAGGGAGAGTCAAGGATGATGGAGGTGCTGTGCCTGGGAGAACAGTTGGAACAGTCTGTCTCAGGTTGCCAGCACCAACAATCATAGAGCAAAGCCCTAGAGGTCATGTCCTGGGGTGGGTTAGCTGACATTTTCAGTCGAAATATGTGCCCAAGAATAGGCCTGCTCATCTGACCTTCTAAGTTGAGTGGGGGCTGTCCTTTGGTGCTTTTTCAAAATTGTTGTTCCCCATGGCATGTGCCTTTGTCTCTATGGGATGCCTAACATGGTCTTGACCTGACAGTCTACATTTTAAAACATCTCCCCTTATTTCCCATCTTTTTTCTCTAGCTAGTGAGACATGCAATGACTTCCACCCGATGTTCTTCACCCATGACCGATCCTTTGAGGAATTTTTCTGCATTTGTATCCAGCTCCTGAACAAGACATGGAAGGAAATGCGGGCAACTTCTGAGGACTTCAACAAGGTAAAGTGGATGTGTGGTGGAGATGGCGCTCCACTTGCAATCTGAAGGGCCTCGTCCTCAGCCCTCCTGTGTGATGTGGTGCTCTCCCTCATCTGTGTATAGAATTGACTGGCAAGAGGAGAAAAGGAAAAAAGATGCAATTTTAGGCTGTTTCAAAAATAGAAACAACCGTTAGGTATATGCTTGGGGCATTTTGGTCATTTTGTCTGAGCCAGAGCCTTTCTTGGGAAACTATCATGGTGAGGTCATTGGTAAGGGATGCTTTGTCATTAGTGTGAGGTTATCAGGGAAGGTGCCTTCCTTCCACCTGTGTAGAAGACAAGCACTGCTCCAGTAAGACCAGGAGGGCAGCTGTCTGGTCCATTGGTCTCTGTAGAGTATGGGTGTGTTGAGATCATCTGTCTTGTGTCAAAAACAGAATTGTTATAATGGAGGATCTTTTGTGGGAAACAATGAGTTTACTTGTACCGTTACTTGGTTTAGAGTAAGCATTTGATCCGTTGAACAAATATGCCATTTTTTATTACCATTTTCTTACATTTATTTATATTGTGTGTCTATGTATACACACTCATTCACTGGTGCATGTACCATAGTGCACCTCTGGAGGTCAGAGGACAACTTGTATGAGTCAGTTCTTGCCTTCTACCATGTTGGTCTCAGAGCTCTAACTCAGGCCACTAGGCCTGGTGGCAAGTGCCTACCTGCTGAGCTATCTCACCAGCCACTTGTTTGTTTATGCAAGAGTATGATTTTGCCATTCCCATTTATGTAAGACTATTATTTGAAGAGAAATTTATTGCTCAACATAGAAGCAGAGTTCATCCTCTTAGAGATAAAGAATATCCTTGATACAGACCTGACTAGCAATGCCATGGTTAATTATGACTGGTTTTAGGGCTGAGGTAGGTGTATTTTGGTCTTTAATACTTGTAATGTACTTCTGTATATGGCTCTGATTATGGCTGACCCATCATCCAAGCCCACTCTCCCCAACTCTAGTCATAACTGTAAGAGTCTAAGAATCTGGTTTTGCCATAGCAGTGCCCTACTCTGTGACCTTGGGTTGGGTCTAGAATACCTGAGCTCCAGCTGCACTTGCCTCCCTACCACTTTCTCTCTGAATTTTTGTCTCATCCTCCTTTTCCTGTAAGTTTTAGTTTGCGGCATCTTGAACCATGACAGGTTGCAAAAAAAGAAAAGCAGGAAAAGGACTTAAGCCTCAGTCAGGCATCGACCTGCCTGCTTCCCTCAGCATAGTGACCTGTTAGGGCAAGTAGGGCATTCCTCTCCAAGGTGTCTACCTTTCCTTTCTTTGCACCTGGGACTAGCTGCTTCAATCAGGCCATGCCGAGCATAGTGATCACTGATCAGCAAGTTGCAGTTTAGAGCTTCCATGTGCTGGAGTAGCTGTTCAGGAAAAGGCATGATTCACAGAGGACAGGAGGAACAGAGGCCTTGATCCTTGGCGTTCATAGCCTCAGCCTCCTCGGTGTGCTTCACTTGATTATGAGAGACTTTGCCATTCAGGTGCAAATCATTCTGGAGAAGGAATGCCTTCCAGCTCTCAAGCCAGGAAGAAACTAAATCAATAGCCTCTGAAAGTGGCTGCAGCCACTCTGCACTGGATCAGCATGACTCTTACTGCATGGTGGGGACAGCCATCCGGGTCCTAGCTTTATGTATTAGGACACCTGGTCCTCCAGGAGATGGAAACCTCACCAGCCTAATTTGTGTAGGCTTTGGTGTAAGAATGGGTGTCAGAAAAAGGTCAGGTAAGGGAAAGACAGAGACTTTTAAATTTCCATTGCGGTCTGCTTTTTTTTCTCATTATTTTAGTAACTAGAAAAGTATATCAAAGTTAGAGAGATTGATAGATAGATGTATACATACATCCATGCACACATGCATATATACATACTTGTATACATAGATTTATTGATAGATAGATACTATCTTGGTTTGCTTTCTGTTGCTGTGATGAAACATTAACTAAGAACAACTTGGGAAGAAAAGGGCTTATTTCATCTTAGAGCTTATAGACCATCATCTAGGGAAGCCGAGGCAGGAACCTGGAGGCAGGAACTGAAGCACACACCATGGAAGAATGCTGCTTTACTGACTTGCTTCCCCCTGGCTTGCTCAGCAAACTTTCTGTTTTAAAAATATTTTTATTGATTTTTGGAGATTTTCATACGATGTATCTTGATTATATTCAGACTTTACCCCCATATCCTCTATTACTATTTTCTCCCTTCAAAGGCCTACTGAGTCTAACTCGGGTTCCCTAAATACTCCTGGGTGTGGGTTCATCCCTTGTAGCCTAGTCAACCAACAACCCAGGCACACCTACCCAGGGATGGCACCACCCACTATGGGCTGGGCCCTCCTACATGAATTTGCAATCAAAAAAATACCCCATAGACATTCCCATAGGCCAATCTGATGGGGGGAATTCCTCAGTTGAGGTTCCTTCTTCCCAGGTGACTCTAGTTTGTGTCAAGATGGCAAAAACTAGACAGCACAGATCCACAGACTGATAGATACATGCATGCATAGCATAGATATAGACACATATACATACAGATAGGTATTTAGCATATATGTATTTATCTTGCTGCTGCAACAAATGACTGCAGAATTAACAGCTTAGACAATACAAATTTATCATTATCTTACAGTTCCATAATTCAGAAACTAATGCTGGGTCTCATTGGAATAAAGTCAGTGCATTAGCAGAGCTGTGTTTCTTTCTGGAGATTCTAGGGGGGAATCTGTTACCTTGCTTTCTCCAGCTTCTAGAAGCCTCTGCATTCCTTGATTTGCATCTTGCTTCTCCTTCTCCAAAGCCAGCAGCCATAGGTCCATTTCATGCACATCCCTCCCATCCCTCTGATGTCATCTGACTTGGTCCTCTACTTTTAAAGACCCTGTGATTGCACTGAAATTGGATAATCCAGGGTAATAGTCTTCCTGTCTTAAAGTCAGCAGAGAGCAAACTTAGTTCTACCTGTGATCTAAATCCCCTTTCTTCACATAGCATAGCATAGTCACAGGTCTTGAGGATTAGTGCATGGACATCTTTGGAGACCACTTTTCTGCCCATCACAGTCTATATCTGACTTGCATCTGTGTTTGATTTTTAGTTGTTAATCTCTTCCTTTAATGTAATATTGATAGACAAGTCTTTTGGCTTGTTATTTTTGCTGTAGACATAATCCCAGCTCCAGAGTTCTGCTGGTAACTGCTCAAATGTAGATATGTTTGTGTCCCTTTTCTTTGATGTCCCTCTTCTGCCTGTAATAACCTTTTCATTAAAAGGAAGAAGAGGGCCACAGTGTGAGAGCCACTACTGCAATCTGAAGACGGTCTTTCTGAGCTTTTTTCTTATCTCCTGCCTATCGGCCACAGTTCTGCTATCCTCGATAATAAATGGAAGAAAAGAGAAGTGCTGGACTTGAAATCAGTCCACTTTTCTTCTTGTTATTAACTTGGTAGCTGAGGATATTTAATTTAGGAACAAATGTAGGTTTTGAATTACTGGTAGACTTAACATTTTCTTGTTCCCTAAGACTGTCCAAATTTGAATTCAGAAATATCTTAAAAGAACCCAACATGAGACATTTCTTTTGAACTATTCTGGACACTGTTTCGGGCTCTGACCTGTTTGTACGCAGCATGGAAGGCAGAGTTAATTGTCAACCTGGACACCCAGGCGTATGAGAGGAGAGCCCAGCTGGGTGCCTTCCTAAGTGCTGCCCCTCAATTTAAAATTTTAATTTCTCCAGCACACTGCATTCTGTCAGAGGCAGGAATAGCTTCTGCCACCCACCTGTCTTGGACTTCAGTTTGTAGATATCTAGGGCTTGCTAGTTAATGCCACTGCTGGAAGACAGTGTTTGGAAAAGAAAAGCAGCTGTCTTCTCTCCAAGACTCAAGAAGCAGCAGATGCAATGTTTTTTGTTTTTTTTTTTTAATTTATGTAAGAGAAGTAGAATTGGAGAATTATTAAAATATTTATACTTTGAAAAGTACTTTCTCTTTCTCAATAAAGTTTACAGAATAATCCATTGATTCAGGCTTTTGGGTTTGTATTCTGTTTTTGCCTTTTATTACCAATATTTTAGAGCCTGCCTTACTCATTTTTAATTATTTATTTAATAACCACATAATTAGAAGAAGCATTTCATTACAACAGCATTAGGTTATATAAGGAACCTAGGGAATAAAGGGAAAGAAGGAGCTCAAAAGAGGTGGGACCACAGGAGAAGGGTATTATTAAAGCAGAAATGGAAAAAACAGGGGCACCTTAAATGGGGAAACCATGGTGGAAGGGTTAGACAATGCGAGAGATAAACAATACCTAGCTAGTTTTAGAAAACCAGAGGGACCCATATTAGGCCAACAACCTACTGACAAATTATACATACAACCAGATCAAAGAATGTAATATATGTTTAGGCAAGGTTTATCTGAGAGCATTTTGTCCTTGCCCAAGCTATCTACATGGAACATGGTAATTAAAAGTGCCAGAGTGGTGGACCTAACCTTCTTGGATGTTTAACAGCCATACTATGAGGCCTATACTAATTTTGACAGAGGGACATAAAGGACAGTTTTTGCTCCTTTCCCTCCCAGGTTGACTAAGTTCTAGGGGGTGGACCTAAACCAGTGTCCAGTCTACAAAGAGGAGGGTCAACAGAGAGGAATCATTTCCTCCATGCTTCCAAGCGAAGCCAGCCATGGTTGAGCAGGACTTTTGACTTATCTTCACATAGATGGAACTGGTAAAAGAAAGGAGCCAGGGGCTCCTCCCAAGTCCATGTAACCCCTGAGGAACAGATCCTAAATGACCTTAAGAGTAAAAATAAATTGTTTTATCTGGGCCAACTGTAGGGTCTTAAACACCCAAAAGGAAAGTATAACCAAAGATTAATGGGGTCAATATAATTTTTGAGAGTCCATATGTATAGCTAAAGGCTACATAACAAGAAACAATA